CGAACGGCGACGCCCCCGTCCCGCCCCCCTCCTGCCCCTCGGGGTCCTGCAGAGCCCTCGGCCCGCGTCGCCGCCCCTGTCCCCGCGTCCCTTTTAACATCACCAGCCTGGGCCCTGTCGTTGTCCCTTCTTTGTGTGTTCCTGGGCCTTTCTCTGCGGCCAGGGAAGGGCAGTATCTTCTCGGGGGCCTGTGGGCCATCCCAGCTGCTGCTCTGGGGACTCGCCTCTTCCCTCCCAAGCTCCCAGATACACCTCTCTTCCCACTCAGACTCAGGCGTAAAATTTAAGAGGATGCGAAACATTTCGGTAGTGAAAACAAGTCTCATTTTAATGCAATATTTAAAAAACAAAATCAATGAAAGAATATCTATGATGATCAAGATTCCTCACCCACTCCACTGCCGACCTCTGATCTTCCTTGCTATCACTGCCCACAAAAAAGCACGAGGAATGGGGGTGGGTAGGGGAGAGGAGGGCGGGACAAGAAATGAGTCAAGGAGATGGAATTTTTTTCTATTTATTCTTAATACGTTTGTTTGGTTTCTTTTTTGATTAAGATTCATTCCTTTTATATAGTTTACATAAACTTTATATTAACTTTTATGATGGAAAATTTCAAACAAATGTAAAACTAGAACAGTACAGTCTTCCCTGGATATCTGCGGTGGGCCCCAGTGGATATCAAAATCTGGGCATGCTCCAGTCCTTTATATAAAATGGTATAATATTTGCATACAACCTATGCACACCCTTCCAGATTCTTTAAATCATCCTTAGGTTTCTTATAATATGTAATACAATGTAAACACTATGTAAATAATTTACACTGTATTGTTTAGGAAATAATAAGAAAAAAGTCTACATATTCAGTACAGATGCAGCCATCGTGGACCTAACAATATAGCACATGTCAACAGCAGTGTAATATTTTTTTCTGAATATTCTCGATCTGCAGTTGATTGAATCTGACGATGAGGAACCCACGGATACGGAGAACCCACTGTATAAGGAAAGCAAAGGTACTCATTACCCATTGTCTACAGTTAGCAACTCCTGGCCAATCTTATTTCATCTATATCTTTACCCACTTACAACCCTTACAGATTATTTTTGAAGCAAATCTCAGACATAATATCACTTTGCGCATAAATATTTCAAAGTGCATATCTACAAGGACTTTCTTTTTTATGTATAACCATCATACTAATATCACACCTAACAATAATAATCCCTTAATGTTATTTTATGTCCAATCTTTGTTTAAATTTCCAATTCTGTCTATGGTCATGCTACCCTGAACAAGCCGGTTACTGTCTGATCTCAGAAGCTAAGCAGGGTGGGCTTGGTTAGTACTTGAATGGGAGACCACCTAGGAAGACCAGGTGCTGCAGGCTTAAAAAATAAAAAATAAGGGATTGTAAGCTGACAAGGTCCTTGCAATCTGTGAGGTCAACCAAGGGTTGCCTCGCCTATAATAAATGAATGAATGAATGAATGAAAAAAAAACAATTCGGTCATAGTGTTTTTAAACAGTTCATTTGGATAAGGATCCAAATGCGATCTAATACCTAATGCTGTTTTCAAGATACTGTCTTTGTCTTTGACTGTTTCACTATAATGTGTCTTGATGAGTGTATTCTAATTGAGGTTCGTTGAGCTTCTTGGATGTGTATATTTGTGACTTTCCTTAAATTTTAAAGTTTTGGCCATCATTTCGTCAAATAATCTTTCTGCTCCTTGCTTTCTCTTTGCTTTCTCTGCTCCGCAGTCTGGATAATTTCAATCGATTTATCTAAAATTTCCCTGATTCTTTTCTTCTGTCGGCTCACATCTTTTATTGAGCGCTTGTAATATTTTTTTCATTTCAGCTACTGTACGTTTTAGCTCCAGAATTTCTTTTGGTTCTTTTTTATAATTTCTTCCTGTTTATCGATATTCTCTACACGATGAGACATAATTCTCCTGGTTTATTTTAGTTCTTTGACCATGATTTCTTTTAGCTCTTTGAGCATATTAAAGACAGTTGATTTAAAATCTTTGCCTAGTAAATATGTCTGGGCTTTCTCAGGGACAGTTTTTATTAATTTCTTTTTTCCTATGAATAGGTCATACTTTCTTTGCATGCCTCATAATTTGTTTTACTTTCGAAACTAGGTATTTTGAATATTATCATGTGGCACTTCTGGGAATCATATTCTTCCATTTCAAGGATTTGTTGTTTCTGGCGGTTGTGGATTCTTTGTTTGTGTGTTTGGTGACTTTTCCAAACTATTTTTGTAAAGTCCGCATTCTTTCTCATGTGTGTCCACCGAAGTCTGTGTTGCCCTAGCTTAGTGGTCAGCTGATGTTTTGACAATTACTTAAATGTCTGGAGCCAATAAAAGAAAAAAAAAGGAAAAAAAAAAAAGGAGAAACATTCTCCCAGTCTTTGCAAATTGATCTGTGCTGGGGAACTCATTCTATGCGTACTCAGGCCATTTACAACTCTGCATTAGTTTTCACTTCCTACTTGTACAAAGTCTGAAAGTCATCTAGAGGTGGGAGATTTGAGTCTCCTCAGTTCTTTACAGCACAAGCATCTCATTCTGGGCATATATGTGGCCTTCTCAATTCCCCTGTACATTAGTGAACTTTAAAAAGCCCTTATTCCCCCAAATATCTCCTTTCCCAGCCTCTTCCTTCCAGGCTTTTCATTCTGTTACTATTTGTTCTGAGTGTTATCCTTTGCCCTAGGCTGCTGTGGCAAAAGCTACTCCATTCCTGGGAAAGCTGAGTCAGAAAAACAAAGAGAAACCTTTGCACTGGTCCTTCAGGAGAAACTGCCAAACAGGTTGAAGCTCACAGCCACAATTTTCTTGAGAATAAAGCCCGTAATTCTCATTCAGGTACTAGCAATTTTCGCCAGTTGATACGCTGGGGATGGTGGGCTAGCAATTTAAAATACCACAGCATTCTCTTACTGCAATGCACGAGCTTCTCTCTTCAACAAGTTTTCCTCTGGTTGTTGTAAGTTTTGGATTAGATTCCAGAGTTCTGCAAAAGTTCATTCTGACAGTTTTTGGCATGGAACTTTTGAGTTCCCTACTCTGCCATTTTGGCGATGTCTTCACTTTATATATATATATTTTTTTATTCTCTAAAATGTGATGGCTGCGTACAATTTTTTAAAAAAATTTTTCTTCTTTAAGAGAGCAGTACAATATTATACTTGCTTTCTCTCAGGAATTTTTAATAGAATTGTTGGTTAATTATGTTTAGTACTTTGTCACAAACAATATTTGATATATTTGACTTGTTTTAAAAAATTCATTTTAGTTGCTTTCTGAAATGTAGCTGTGGAAATTTCATATTTCTAAATATGTTTAAAAGTTATATGCATGGGGGAGGGTGAAGTGGGTAAAGGGAATCAAATATATGGTAGCTGAAGGAAACTGGACTTTGGGTGGTAAACACACAATAGAATATATAGATGTCAAATTATAATGTACACCAGAAAATTATATAATTGTATTAACCAATGTTACCCCAATAAACTTAATTAAAAAAAAGTTATATGCAAAGTTAAAAACAATAGATGAACATCAAAAGGTAAAAGTCCACGTGCTTGCTGAGGGCAGCACAAGGGGCCATGCGGAGAAGATGTTATTGCTGCCTCTTAGTGGTTGATGTTTGAGGGTGAAGTGTCTCTGGGGTCAAGGTGTCACTGCCACAGACATGACAAAGGTCCTTGTTTTAGTAATCTATACCAGAGAGAAAGAAAATGATGTGCCACAGTTTATAAGTACAAGAGATGATTTTGATAAATTGGTGTCTGGAAAGCTGAGAGAAATTTTGAACATATGCGGCCCATCTCTGAAGGCAGGCAAAACCTGAACTTTTTATTGTTTGCACGAGGACTTCCCCGGCGTGATGACAGTTGGCCTCCGCTAAAAGGCAGCTGGAGTGGATGACCAGGCAAACTGGTATGAAGGCAAAGAAAACAGAGCAGCTATCCCAGCAAGGTGCAGGCAAGTTCAAGACCTGGCGATCTCTTCCGTGGAGGTGGATCCCTGTGGAGATGCCCAGGGGAAGGGGCAGTGCTTGGTCTTAATGAGTATGATGATGTAAAGCAGAAAATAAGGTAGTTGTATCTGCAAAGCTCCATGGAAGCAGGGATCAGGAGGCCTGGCAGAAAGAAGTCCTCTTTGCTTCAGGACAGAACTTCAGGGCATGCCAGTAGATGGAGACTCCTGCCAATGAGGTGAAGCCAATTAGATTTGCCAAAAGTATTGAGAAGAATCTCAAGGGTGCTAGTAGTAAAACAGAAGTCTACATCAGATTCAAGTCTTGGATCGAGGAACAGGAAATGGGATCATTCCTAAGTGTGGCCAAAGGATCCTCTGATCCTTCAGTCTTCTTGGAAATTCACTACAGAGGCAGCCTCGATGCAAGTGAACCAACCCTGGTGTTTGTTGAG